TCCATTGGTCTATATCACCTGTCTGCATGCCAATACCATACTGTATTGATTATTGTTGATTACTGTAGCTTTGTAGTAAGTTTTTGTTTTCTTGGTACTAGGGATTTAACCCAGGGATGCTTTACCACTGAGCTACATCTGCAGCCCTTTTTTTAAAAAAAATTATTTCTACTAATTAGTTATATATGACAGTAGAATGCATGTTGACACATCATACATAAATGGAGTATAACTTCTCATTTGTCTGGTTGGATATGATGTAAAGTTACACAGGTCACATAATCATATATGTACATAGGGTAATAATATCCAATTCATTCTATTATTGTTCCTACCCCCATATTCCCTCCCCTCCTTTCACTTCCCTTGTCTAATCCAAAGTACCTCTATTCTTCCCTAGCACAACCCCTCCCCCTCACATATTGAGAGTTAGCATCCACATATCAGATAAAACATTTGGCCTTTGGTTCTTTGGGATTGGCTTATTTTGCTTAGCATAATATTCTCCAGTTCCATCCATTTACCTGCAACTTCCATATTTTTTTCTTCTTTAAGGTGTCTGAAGCCCTTTTTAATTTTTAATTGAGAAAAGATCTCACTAAGTTGCTTACGGCCTCACTAAATTGCTGAGGCTGGCCATGAACTTGTGATCCTCTGTCTCAGCCTCCTGAGTCACTGGGATTATAGGCATGCACCATCATGCACAGCTTGTAATAAGTTTTTAAGTTAGGAAGTCTGAGCTTCTGGGGCACCTCATATGTGAACTATAACAATCAATTCCTGGCCCTGGTAATCCTTCTACCTGATCAATTTCCAGGGGATTTAATAGCCTCATTTCATACTGATATATAGAAGCCAGGGAAATAACCAATTGTGTGAAAAAGCTCATGTGCAGTAGGGGAGAGGCTTATTTAATCTTTTTTTTTTTTTCAGGATTGGTTTGGCTCTTTAGGCTCCTTTAAAATTCCATGTGAATTTTAGGATGGATTTTTTTGTTTGGTCAAAAAAAAGTCATTGTAGTTTTGATAGGAATTGTGTTGAATCTATAGATATATTTGGGTAGTGTTGTTATTTAATATTTAGCCTCCCCATGTTTGTGAAATAATAAATTGCTTTCTAATTATTTATGTCTTCAATTTCTTTAGCATTCTCCAGTTTTCAATATACAAGTCTTTTGTTTCTGTGATTAAGTTCAAGTATTTCATTCATTTTGATGTTATTATAAAAAGAATTGTTTTCTTATTTTCCTTTTGGACTGTTAATTATATAGAAATGCAACTGAATTTTGTATATCTATTTTGCATTCCTCAACTTTGCTGTACTTATTTCTTAGCTATATTTTTGTGAAATATTTAAGGTTTTCTATATATAATATCATATCACCTGCTGAGAGATATTATTTTACTTCTTAATTTCCAGTTTATATTCCAGTTTTTATTACCAGTTTATATCTGTTTTTATTGTCTTATTGCACTGGCTAGAATTTTCAATTACATGTTGAATATAAGTGGCCAAAGTGGGCATCCTTGTTTTGTTCCCAGTATTAGGAGAAACCTTTCAGTTTTTCACCATTAGATATGATAGATATGAGGTTTTCTATAGTTTCTATCATATTAAGTATCTCTTCTATTCCTAGTTTGTTCATTGCTTGTATAAAGAAAGGATATAGAATATTGTCAAATACTTTCTGTATCAATTGAGATAAACATGTGAATTTCCTCTTTTATTTTATATTGATTGCATGTTGAACCATCTTTGCATTTCAGGAATAAATACCAACTGGCCATCATGCATAATTATTTTAATATGCTACTGAATTCTGCTTGCTAGCATTCTTTTTAAGATTTTTGCATCAATATTCTGAAAGAAATTGGTTAGTAGTTTTTCCTTTCTTGTGGTGTCTTTTTGTTAGAATGAAGTGTTTTTTATAAACACTTTTTTGGGGAAGTGTTTATAAAAGATGGGTAGTTTTTTTAAATATTTGATAAAATTCACCAGTAAAGCCCTCCATGAATTGTTTTGAGGCTTCGATTGCTGATTTAATTTTCTTACTGGTTATAGATCTGTACAGATTTTTCTAGATTTTCAAAACTCTTTCTTGGGAGCTTGTGTGTTTTGGAATTTGTCCATTTTACCTACTTTATCCAATTTGATGACATAAAATTTCTCATAGTATTTTATAATCTTTTTAAATATTTGTAAAATTAATAGTATTATCCTCACATTCATTTTTGATTTTTATTAATTTGAGTCTTCTCTACTTCATTCTTAATCTAACTAAAGATTTTTTTATTTTGTTGGTATTTTCAAAGAATCAGCTTTTAATTTTGTTGGTTTTATGTCCTTCCTTGAATCTTTATTCTTTCTTATGGTATTTTTTATTTTAGTTTGCTTTTTCGAGTTCCTTATGATGTAAAGTTAGGTATTGATTAGATATCTTTCTTCTGTTAGGATTTGCTTATAGCTACAAATTTCCTTCATAGAACTACTTTTACTGCTTCCTCTTTTTGTTTATTGTGTTTTCAATTCATTTGTCTGAAGGTATTTTTTGTTTTCACTATTATATCTTTTTAAACCATTGGTTGTTTAAGAGTATAATGTTCAAGTTCCAGGTATTTGTGAATTTTCCAATCTTTTAGTGAATTCTATTTGAGATCAAGAAAAAAATGTGATTTTAGCCTCTTAAAATTTGTTACTCCTAGTTTTGTGGCCGAACATATGGTCTTTTTTGAATAATATTCCATGTGCATTCTGCAGTTTGGAGACAGAATGGTCTTTATGTGCCAGTAGTAATATTTTAAACCTTCAAAATCCAAACTTTTACTTTGATAAATATGTTTCTCTTCGGGACCCTTCTCTGTCCCCTTTACACACTAAATTTCTATATGATGGTTGTTCTGAGCTATATTAAACATTCATGGTCTATGTTAAATCTAATTTGATGTTAGAGCACAGTTTGTATTGTAGAATTTAATGGTCTTTGGTGGAACTACATAAATTTTCCCTGAGGATTTTCAACATTGCCAAATCATTTTTGTCTGGTATATTGCTCATTTCTCAGCATGCTGGATGCTGGAGTTTTGCCCTGCAGCAGCTGAGTGCCATCAATAAAGACATATGCCTTACACAGAAGCTGAAAAAAAAGAATTTCCTCCAATTATGGCTTTCAAATTCCTCAGGGAAAAATGAACATACAGTTGAGGTGTAATTCATAAAAGACAACAAAGTTTTTCCAACTCAGACTTGTTCCTAGAGCAGTGACTGGCATCTGAGGAGGAGAAGAACTCGCTGACTAAATGTGGATCTCATTACCTCTGCATTAGAGAAGCAGATGTGTTCCCCACATTGCTTATAAATAGGAGTCCACCAAATTACATAACATTAAGCCCAAGTTCAGGGTACTTTAGCCTTTGTAAACAGAAAAATCATGGTCTTTCTATCATCAAAAAATGTGTAACTAAAAAAGTTTCATGATGAAGAGAAAATTCTCTTAATGGCTGTTTGTATGTTCTTTTGTATGACTTGTCAGTATGCCGTATACATAAATTGTTAATCATATTTATTTTTCCCAGAACACAACCGTTCTTTTCATGTAACCCATATTTTCTCACCTTCATACAATTAAACTACTGTTATTCTACTTAAATTGAAGTGCAAAATATATGAAAAAGAGAAAAACCAGTGAGAGCATAAAGAGTTTGAAACATGAGGGATAAATCACATATTTAGTCTTCTCTTTGTAACTGTCTTAAATTCCTCAGTCTTGGTGGATTTTAGGTCCTCCTCTTTAAAGTACTCATTGTCTAATGAACCTCACAGAATTATTACAAAATTTTTGTTGGTAAAACATATATAAGCATATAATATGGCTTCAAAAATTAGTCATTTAGTATTCATTCTAAAATTGTCTTTAAATGACAATTTTTTTATTCCCACATCCACAATGACTAGGACATGACACAGGCTTCCTGTGCAACTTTAGACTCAGTTCATAATTAAGACACATCACTCAAGGAGGTAGAAACAAGCAAAGTAATAATATATTTTAAAAGAACAGATAAGTTAAATATGCACAGTTACCATTTCAGTATTTTGGGAAAGCTAACCTGAGAGTAGTCAAATGGCTATTAGTGTAAATTATATTAAATTAATTATATTAAATTATATAATATAATGTAAATTATATTTAATTATATTAAATCACCCATATTTGGATGATATTGACCTATACAAGTGACATTTTTTTATGGTTTGGCCTAATATCATTTCAACTATTCTCATAAATTTTAAATTGTTTCAGGTATACTCTATCCAATGCTCCCTATTATACTTTTTTGGGGCATGTGGGGTTTGAACCCAGGGGTGCTTAACCACTGAGCCACATCCCCAGCTAGTTTTGTATTTTATTTATAAACAAGGGCTTGCCAAGTTCTTCAGAGTCTCACTAAGTTGCTGAGGCTAGCTTTGAACTTGCAATTTTCCTGCCTCAGCCTCCGAAGTCTCTGGAATGACAGGTGTGCATCACCATGCCTGGCTCCCTATTATACTATTTTAAAAGCACAATAAAAGGAACTGTGGTAGAACTATGAGATCCACAGCTGAAAAATAATTATAACTTTATAGCTCTGTGAGTGTTCTAGTGTGGATCTTTCAATAACAGTATAGGGGCTGGGATTGTGGCTCAGGGGTAGAGTGCTTGCCTAGCACGTCCAAGACCCTGGGTTTGATCCTCAGCACCACATAAAAATAAATAAAATAAAGGTATTGTGTCCAACTACAACCAAAAAATAAATATTAAAAAATAGTGTGATTTTTTAAAATTTATTTTTAAAATAAATTTCCAAAAGTCCACTTATACCACTTTCAATCATCTGTTATTTAAACATTATTTAAATATATGCATTTTAGGTAGCTACAAGGAACTAGTGCAGGTATGCAGAAGATAGGCGTTCTGTGCCTGCTGAGTTTCTTTCAAAAACTTATCATTTCCCCAGCCCACCATGGTGGACGATATTGATTTCACTACCAGAGATTTGGGGGCTTCCAGCACTTATCTTATGCACTGCTTGGCCCTGAGCAAAAATGACTTTGTGGTGCTCAAAGGACGACAATGCAAAATAGTGGAGATGTCAACTTCCCAAAGTGGAAAATACGGTCATGCCAAGGTATACCTTGTTGGAATTGATATTTTCACAGGCAAAAAACATGAAGATATTTGCTCGTGTGTGTGTGTGTGTGTGTTGCTGGGGATTGAACCCAGAGCCTTGTGCATGCAAGGCAAGCACTCTACCAACTGAGTTATAGCCCCAGCCCAAGATGTTTGCCCTTCTACTCACAATATGGATGTTCCAAATATTAAGAGAAATGATTATCAACTGATATGCATTCAGGATGGTTACCTTTCCCTGCTGACAGAAACTGGTGAAGTTCGTGAGGATCTTAAACTGCCAGAAGGTGAACTAGGCAAAGAAATAGAACAAAGTACAATGCAGTTGAAGATGTTCAGGGATCTGTCACATGTGCAGTGAGTGAAGAATATGTTGTAGCCATAAACCCCTGCAAATAAATGGGGTCATCAGGCATGAGCAAACAGTTTAGGTCTAGATCAACTGCAGTTCCGAAGTTTGGTTCTAAGTTGTCACCAAAGCTATGGCCTTCATAAGCAACCTCATTTTTTAAAAACTGTTTTGAAATTGTGCTGGTTCATTTTGCAGGTAGTTGGTAACTTGAAAAAAAAATCAAGATATATAATTCTTTTTTAAAATTATTTTTGTGTCTTTCCTATAACATTCCTGTGGTTTTCAGGATGGGAGTCCAAGAAACATAAAGCTTCAGCAAATGTGATTTGTCTGAGCAAATCATTCCTTAATTTTAACAAAATGATTAGTAAACCAGGGTTTTAAAAGAGATAATGTAACATTTGGTGGTATTGAAATACCACATTTAAGTTGAATTGCTCTGCATTAATTTCAGACTTAATGTCATAGAACACATAGATTATGGATTAAAATAGTTTTAGCCTGTGTGTAGCAAACACAATTTTTTTTCAAACACAAATCTTTAAACAAAAATCAAAAAGCATCAGGGGGCTGGGGTTGTGGCTCAGAGGTAGAGCTCTCGCCTACCATGCATGAGGCACTGGGTTTCATCCTCAGCACCACATAAAAAAAAAAAACAAAATAAAGATATTGTGTTTAAAAAAAAAAAAAAAAGCAGCAGTTACCTTGCTGGCTGTGTGGAATGATATATATTACCTAGGTCATACCATTCTTTGCCACACTGTTGGTAGACTTAAACCTTACATGGTGATTTTAGTACTTTCTTGTCATTGACAGCAGGATATTGAGTGAAAATGAGCAAGTCAGACTGCAAAACAGAAAAAGGACAGTGGCAAAGGAGGTTGGTAAATTCTAGGTTTTGACTTGAGACCTCTGTAATGAGCATAAAAAATAGAAAGTAGCTTTATATAAATGCATTTTAACAGAAAGCTAGTGAGATTGAATTTAAAGCAATCTAACCACCGAATGGCATTTTTAAATCAGGGAACAGTTACAGTAGACATGGAATTCTTTCTAACTCTGAAATGTAGTATAAATCTTATCTTTTTCTTTTCCACATCCATTCCTTTTCTCACACACAAATAGATTCTTTATAAATTTCTTGTGTTTTTTTTTTCTATACAAGTACTTGTGCATGGTCTGTTATCCTACAAGTGATGAATCTCAAACATTTTGACTGAGAACATGTACACAATTATACCAATTGCCTCCATGGAGACTCATAAACAAAGTTTCCTTTTGGGAGCTAAGGGTCTCAGTACACCATTTTGTACCATCAGACAATGGTTTCCTTGCAATGAAATTTTGCAAATCCCCATCCCCTGGTATCATATGTTGATGAAGTTCAGGTCCACTTCCAATAATGACATTAATGCCTTTGATGCACACACCCGCCCCCTCGCCCCATGCTCACTCATAAACATTTGCTCAGCTGTCAACCAATCCTGGGGCTTGTGTCTGTATGTTTATTACAATGTCCAGCTCTCTCCTCCCCAACTAGCTTGGTCTCTTAGACCAGAGACTTTAAGGCTTACAGTCATGAAAAAAGATTTGACTTATTGGTAGAAAAGAATAAGCCATAAAATAGTAGATTCACTGAGAACTTAACTATTCATTAATATTGACTTAATGCAACATGGGGGTGAGGATCTAACACAAACTCATTAACTGATACATATACTTTTTATCAATAATTTTATCTATATTTTATTAACTTCTACCATAAGGGGTATGTGGAAGCATTTTGAGGTTATTGATATTTTTATTACCTGAACTCTGATGATGGCTATATGAGTATACATACAGCTGTCAAAACATGTCAAACTGTATATTTTAAACAAATGCTGTGTATTTCATGCCAATTTCACCTTACTAAAACTATAAAAAAAAAGAAATGCTACATAACCTGTCAAAGATGGCACAGACAGAAAACAGTATTTTTATTTTTTCACCTCTGAAAGGCATTTTCTTCCCAAAGCACCATGCAGCAGATTCATGGGGACAAAAGTCATAGCCTCGCTGGAATGAAGGGAAATGGAGTAAAAAGGAAAATACATACATAATTTTGTTTTCCTTAGGAGCTCCTGAAAAAAAAAAAAAGATCCTATTCTTTTTTTTTTTAAACTTTTTTTTATTGGTTGTTCAAAACATTACAAAGCTCTTGACATATTTCATACATTAGATTCAAGTGGGTTAGCTCCTCATGTGCAAGGAAAAATAAAGCCAATGTCATTGTTTTTGAAAAATTTATTTTCTCCTGGTCTAATTAAAAACTATGGTCTTAAATGAAAAGAATTATATTCCTTAATGATTTGGAGATTTAGAGAAATTGGAAAGCAATTTGCTTTCTGGAATTGACTTATGTTGTTTTTTTCTTGTCAATTCTGCAGGCCACAACATGTTTGTTTGATAAAGAACATGAATTCATTGGGTTTGGAGCTCTGTGGCTGTTAACTTTCAAAACTGCTCCCTTAGCATACAAGTTCAATCAGTATAAAAAGCACAATGAGGCATGAAATTGTTATGTTGCATTATCCAGTAATATAATTTATTCTTTGAAACACCTAAAAATGAACAAATACATTTCAGAGGCACGAGAACATGTATTCTACACTGTAGGCTAAAATTAATTTAGCATGACTAATAAAGTTTCAAAATTATACTGGACAAGGAAATATGTTTAGATGGCATAAAGTTTAAGACATTATGAGGAAATAGTACTATACAGAAGGCAATAATAATGGGCAGAAATCGAGGAGGAAAGTAATGAGAATTAAAATGTCACTCTGAACACCATGAAAATGGGGGAGATGGTATTGTATTCTTAGCTAGAAATTGCACCCATTTATACTGAGGATAGCAATATGCATCTCTCCTATCTTAGTGGTTAAAAAATCGCTATGAATTTATTAAGACCTTTTTTTTTCTTTTTTGTCTGTACCAGGAAGATTTTTTTTCCATTCCATGAGTCCTTTTCTTTCAAATATGTACTAATAATACAGTTTAAACATTGGTTTAAAAAAGTGAATTGTCAACATCCATCATTACCTCTAGGAGTCTTCTGAAGAAAGGCTCAAATATATATAATATTATTAAGCTTCTTTATTTTTTCCTTTACTATTTTAGTACAGTGGGATTTTTTCCCCCGCTGGTATCATTTCATTGGTAATTAGTGGTGCTTAATGACATCTTTATTCACCACCCCCCTTACCATCTCTCATAAACAGAGAAATGTAATTAGCAATTTGTGTTTAATAATCCATGTTTTTAAAATTTGCAGTGGGTAAGAATTTGGTTTATTCTTCTACTTGGTTTGCCTACAAGATCTCTCCTAAATCCTCACCAAAGGAGGAAAAATAAGGCAAAGATAATTCATTTCTGGTTCTAAAGGGACCAAAGCATGTATGGTGGAAGGCAGTTTTAGATCTTTTTTTAAATTAGTTCTTTGCAGTTATACATGACAGTATAGTATAATTTGACATATTTATACAAACATGGAGTATACCTTATTCTAATTAAGATCTCAGTCTTGTGGTTGTACATAATGTAGAGATTCACTGTGGCATATATTTCCTATGGTGTACATAGGTAAGTCAAGACAGATTCATTCTGCTGTCCCCCTCACTTCCCTTCATTCCCCTTTGTCCAATCTACTGAGCTTCTTCTATTCTTTGCCCCCTTATTATGTGTTAGCATCTGCATATCAGAGAGAACATTTGGCCTTTGGGTTTTTGGGATTGGCTTATTTAGCATGATAGTCTCCAGTTCCAATCATTTCCTAGCAAATGCCATAATTTCATTATTCTTTAAGGCTGAGTAATATTCCATTGTATGTATGTATGTATATGTGTGTATTATATATATATACACACACACACACATATATATATAAATTATAAAATCATATTTTCTTTATCCATCCGTCTGTTGTAGGACACCTAGCTTGGTTCCATAGTTTAGCTACTGTGAATTGAGGTGCTATAAAATTGATGTGGCTGTGTCACTGTAGTATGTTGACTTTAAGTCTTTGGGGTATATGCTGAGGAGTGGGATAACTGGGTCAAATGGTGGTTCCATTCCAAGTTTTCTGAGGAATCTCCATACTTCTTTCCATAGTGGTTGCACCAATTTGCAGTCCCACCAGGACTTAAGGTCTTAAGTATAGAACATATAAATGATTCTCATTTAAATGAGAAAGAGGGAGGTAGGGAAATAGTAATGAGGGATACCCATTTCAGAAAGCACTGCCAGTAATCTGTGGTGATGAGTTTGTTTAATACAGCATACTGGGTATGGGAGTCACTAAGAATCCAGTGGAGGAAGTGCAATGAGAACTAGGCAATTTACAGTGTATGTGATACTGATTTGAGAATAAGTTAGAAAGAGGTAATTACAGCCAAGGATGGCAGGTTGACAACCACAACGTGCAAATGTAAAGACAGCATGCCAAGGCAGTCTCTCCACAGGACATGGCACAGAGACTATTCCCAACTCAAGCCTTCTGAGGCATGCCTTGAAGCCTAATTTTAGATCCAAACAAGTTGCTACAGTTCCATCTCCCTCTGGAATTGCTTCCACTGCATTAAAACACAATCACACTTGATATTAGGCTGAGATTAAGCCAGCATTCTAGCCTCTTGCAGGACAGCTGATTCTATTCCTCTCACACTTATTTGTGTTGGCAGGTCCAACAAGCAAGTAGTTAAAGAGGCCTGTCTGAGAAATTCATGAGGGAGCCTTCTGGGGTTTGCCCCTTCACCTTTCCATATCAAAGCAAATCACGCCTGTCTAGACTGAAGAGCGCCACATAAAACTGCAAGAGACTGGTCTGCCATTATGTGAAAGAATTATGAGGGATTTTGAGTTATGGGGAAATAAACTCTATTGAGGGCATCAAAATATGTAACAGGAGGGGTTTGAATCCTGCCCCAGGAAGAATTCACAGTTACATCAAGTCATCTTATGTGCTA